TTTCACATCTGATATTGGCATGTCAAATATGAAATCAAGCGCCGAGGTGGGAACACATAGCGCCGAGGTCCCAAGTGAAGCGCCGAGATTCACAGGTATAGCGCCGCGGACCTCGGAGCTAAAAAGCCCTGGGGAGAACGCTGCTACAACCCCAAGATGAACAGAATTCTTTCATTTTTTACTTTCACCATTTATGATATTTACTCTGTACAACTTGTATATTAGTCTGGTCATGGCTTATTAACACCTCTGATTTGCTTCTGAATTATGTTTTTATTTCAAAATGTAAAGGACTATGACATTTACAATGACCTATTGTGTATATTTCACAGGCTTCTGAGTTACGTGGCTATCTCAAATCACTTGGGGCTGAGATATCAGAAGAGACATCTGGTGTGGGGATATGGCAAGATATATCTCATGTTTTGGAAGCAGCAGATGTGATATGGAAAAATGTCAGTGACGAATCTGGTAAGTAAGGGAAAATGTCAGTGACGACTCTGGTAAGTCAGGGAAAATGTCAGTGACGACTCTGGTAAGTCAGGGAAAATGTCAATGACGACTCTGGTAAGTAAGGGAAAATGTCAGTGACGACTCTGGTAAATCGGGGAAAATGTCAGTGACGACTCTGGTAAGTCAGGGAAAATGTCAGTGACTACTCTGGTAAGTAAGGGAAAATGTCAGTGACGACTCTGGTAAGTCAGGGAAAATGTCAGTGATGACTCTGGTAAGTAAGGGAAAATGTCAGTGACGACTCTGGTAAATCAGGGAAAATGTCAGTGACGACTCTGGTAAGTCAGGGAAAATGTCAGGGACTACTCTGGTAAGTAAGGGAAAATGTCAGTGACGACTCTGGTAAGTCAGGGAAAATGTCAGTGACGACTCTGGTAAGTCAGGGAAAATGTCAGTGACGACTCTGGTAAGTAAGGGAAAATGTCAGTGACGACTCTGGTAAGTCAGGGAAAATGTCAGTGACGACTCTGGTAAGTCAGGGAAAATGTCAGTGACGACTCTGGTAAGTCAGGGAAAATGTCAGTGACGACTCTGGTAAGTAAGGGAAAATGTCTGAGGATATCAGTAAAAAAAGACAACAGCTGGCTTCATTTTACAGTAATTCATTTTACAAGCTGTTTATATGTACTATTTCAATCAGTGATGTTTCCACTTTTCAATCAAACAACATGTTCAACTTCTGATAAATTTGTATTAATGTAATAAAAACAAAACTCGTGAAAGTCATATATTCGATGCTGTATTCACTGAAAATCTTGTTTTGTTTCCAGATATTGAGAGTATTTTCAACAGTATACTGTCTCTGCTACTTTATGTACCTGCGGAAAAACAAGATGACTTAGTCATCACTATGTGTGAGAAGATTATCAAGGCCCATGAAGGCAATGAACAAGGAGCATGTAGGATTCAAATGTAAGTGAACTTTTATGTCACAAATATTTAATAGCTGTTAGATTGTACGCACCTTAAAATGCTGTAGTCGCAGTGCAATGCACATTTAATTTCGTGTAACCCATTTTGTTGTGCACATCTCAAGATCTCAAGTCAACCTCAACAGGAGACTTCAAAGGTCCATTTCAATTTGTTTCATCCAGTCGTATAAATTGGTGTATGACAAAAATTGTTGAACAATAAAATAATAATGTATATCCTTACATGCTCGTACATGTCAGGATAGTCACTGGTGTGTTTTTTTAGTGCATGTATATTTCAATGGTTAGTAGCCATTTTGGCAGTATCATAATGATTTTATCATAGGCTCCTATGCCAGATATATTATGTCTTATCTCAAATTGAAGGCTGGTGACATGGGCTGAAAATATTGTATATTGTGAATGATGGTGAACTTATTTTTTTCCTGAATTATTTCAAATATCTGGGTTTTAAAAAGTGTCAAAAAAATGCAATTTTGGTTTAACATTATGCTCTATAGAATTGTTCTAAAAATAGCGATTTTTGAAAAATTATAGGACAAGTTCCTTCAAAACACACAAAAGAATGCTGCATTGTATTTCATGGTGCCTTGATTTTACATAATAAACCAATGAACATTGTCATGGATTAATGACCAATTTTCTTAAACATTTCTACCTTAAAAGAAGACGTGTAAACCACATTGTCAGTTTTATTTTTAAATTTCCGTTCAAAATACATTTTCAAGATATCTTAATATTAGCAATATGAAAAAATCACAATCAATACCAGTATTTTTAGTTTTCCATTGACATCCAAATACAGCAATGGAAGCGTATTTGACTGTGGCTTTAAAAATGATATAAAAATGGTCTTTACCGTAATACATTTTTTTTCCCAAACCACAGACTATCTAACTTGTTCTATGGGTTGGATGAAGCGAATCCACTGCGATACAACGTCTATTGTAGTATGCTTAGATTAGGAGGACAGACAGACAATTTGAACATAGTTGTGACAGATATGGACACAGTAAGTTGTTCCAATCTCACTTTTACGAGTTAATTTATAATCGATATTGTTTGTCAGTTTACTTTGGTGAGAGTCTTCTCATTAGAAAGTCACACGACTTTGCCTTGTCTGAAGGTTAATACTAATTACATGCATTGTTGTTATTAGCTTGGTGAGTGGATCGATAAATGGAAACTGAGCGTTGAGCAACACCAGAATCTTTTACGTCTCTTGCACGATGCATTCCTAGAAACAAGACAAAGGTGAGTTGGGGATGGCATTTGTTGTGTTAATTATTATTGCTTATGCAAATTTATTTCCTGTCATTCATACTATAGTGCTGTTTATTACATTGCACACAATTACTGTCAATGCTACACACAATTTGTGTGCACAAATAATTGTACACAACTTTGTCATAAACATTATTCTGGTTTTGACACTTGTGATTTTGTCCTGGTTGAATTGAAGCATTATATTCAGAGGTACGATGTAAAAGTGTGGGTTGTTTCAAGTTCCGTCGTTACTTTAGAAACTTGTCTGTTTGTGGTGTGAAAACATTCTAATTTTGTCTGCGTAGGGTTGTTTGTTTTTACTGCGTAAATGTTCAGTAGTTCATCAGAATGCCGGGAACCAGAAAAAAACTGAACAAATTGTGTCAGCTAGCAATTAACCCCCTAATCTGTCACGGAATATGACTGATGGCACTGTAACTTGAAACTCTTCTATTCTCGGGGGCGGACATCCAGGCATTTTCACCGTATGAGAACCATCACGATGAAAACAAAGGCCGAAAACTCTCAGAAAACAGGATGGGTTTTTGAGACTCCCCTGAACAGTGTAACAAGATTACACCTGTATGTGTAACTTGTATATATTTGGATGTTCAAGATTACTTCAAGGTTGAGTTTATGTTGTTTTCTCAAATTTAGCTATTACGGTATCACTGGCTCTTCGCTCGGCGTTCCACAGCACGCACAGGGCCGTTAGAAATATGTGGTACAGTGGTGCACGTCTTGTGACGTAGCACCACCTGATGATTGTACAGAGAATGTGAATACACACCGTTGGTTTGTTGTTTTACTGTGCTGTGGTGTTCTCTTGACAAACCAGGGTTAAATGCTGCGGCTAGTTAGCTGAATGATTTCTTAAATTAATCCATGTTTATGATTTTGTATTTTTCAGTGAAGATGCCACCAAAGTAATGGTAGAATTACTCAGTACATATACAGAGGATAACGCATCACAGGCCAAAGCTGATGCACATAAATGCATTGTTACGTCTTTACGGGATCCTAAATGCTATCTAATGGACAATTTACTCATGCTGAAACCTGTTAAATTCCTTGAAGGTGAACTTATACACGAGGTAAGCAAATCGTCATGACTAATACCGGATTCTGTCGTTAATTCTCCCTAGGCTGTTTAAGGCGTAGAGGAATTTTTCAATAAAAATAGATTCCCCAGAAAATATTTGATGATCTTTTTTTGAAATTTTGAACCCCAAATAAGCCCACCAGCCGTGAAATCGCCCATGACGATTTTTTGGATGGGCGAATTTACGCCAGAATCCTGTAATTAAATTGGGGCATTTAAAAGTATCTGTTAAACTTATTTTTGAGATTATAGATGACAACTGATCAGACATTGTTTGTTTGACGATTCTAGTACTCGTTTGTTTTATTAACTCTTATCCTGCCAGCCGATGTACTTTTAACATTGACTTGAACAGATAAGGGTAAATGTATGTTACAATACAAACTACGGTTGATTTACGTAGCTGTCAATTTTACGATAAATGAAAACACAAATCCTGCACACACTAACTTACTGATTTATTTTGAATCTTTTCAGCTCCTGTCTATATTTGTATCTGGAAAACTGTCAACTTATATTAATTTTTATGACAACAATACAGATTTTATTGAATCCATGGGTAAGTTGTTTTAATTACTGGTCTGTTACTTTGAGCTCAACTCAAACCAATCTAACCAACATGTGTGCTGTTCCTCTATTACCAGACAGCCCAAATTGTTGTGCATTTTTTCCCATATATTCTTCAATATTTGGAGCCAATAGACAAAATTTGAGTCAGTTTTGACTCAAAAAATTTGCCTATTTTTGTCCCAATCTTCTGAAGGAAAGTGCAGACTATAAACAGGACTAATTTCTGGTGAAAAGAGGGCGCTGGTGGTGAAAACCTTAATGTGCCATATATATTACCAAATGCTAGTGTTGAATTACTCTATGCTGGTTTATGTCATATTTCACCATAACTATGTTGAGAAACAAACACATTTGCAATACTAATAGGTCATGATAACGTGTATTTCAGTGTACAAGCTTAATTGTCAAAACGCTTTTTTTCTATCCGCAGGTCTTTCGCATGAAGCAAATCTGCACAAAATGAGGATTTTAACATTTATGGGTATGGCGACTGAAAAGAAAGAAGTCACGTTTGACACAATTGAACAAGAACTGCGTCTACCAGCAGAGGAAGTGGAAGGGTTTGTGATAGATGGTGAGTTTTTGATACCGTTAAAATCCTATTATAAACCGCGGTTTATAATACAATGTATCAAATAAAAAATTGGGATCAACAGCTCAAGTTCGGGGTGCGGTTTATTTTAGGTACATATTGCAATCACTAAATGGGCGTGGTAATTTTTTCCCCACATCACTTGCACAAAACAAACAATACACCGTACAATCTTTTGAATATAAGCTAACTCCAATTTAGATGTCAGGGAAGAGTGATAAGCGTCACGTCACATGAAAAAAAATACTCGGTATATTTAATGTACCGTAAAAACCCG